GAAGACCAAACAAAGTAGTTTCGCTTTCACAACGAAGCACACAGTGTCTCCACGGCATGGCGGCACCAACAATACTACAGTGAGAATAAAAGTTAGGCCTTCTTTCTTTGCATGAACATTTGGGCAGTGTTATGCAAATCTTCCCACATCGTGACGTAGACATGTGGGGGCGTGTTAGAATGAGCCGTTTTAGGTAGGTGTGGCTGACTCTTAACTTTTATAAAGAATATCTCTTTGGATTTGAGACTTTAGTCTTTGCAACTTTACAGATCTTCTTTATGCACCAAGCGCTTGTAACACTCCAAAGAGAAAGGAAAAATTGAAATCGCATCATATGACCCCTTTAACTTTTAAACACTTTTAATCAAAGACTTGTGGTTTAAATTGTTAATATATTAATATAAACTCGATTTATTGGATTCTTTGCGCTTATTCTTTTTTATTTGTTTGCTATCCACCTTATTTTGCAACACAGAAGCGAACTATTTTCTTTAAATGTGCGAGAATTCCGCTTCATTAGCCGCTAACTAAGCGTAAACAAACAAGTACAGTAAAGGGTAAAACTATCTGCGCTAAAAAACCGGTGTATTTATGATTATGATAATAGATTAAAATAATATGATGGCAAAAAAATACAAGTTTTCAATATAAAGTAGCTTAGCATTATGTAGGCTACTGTTTTTGTACAGGTAAAATAAGTGGAAGCATGTCACCAGAAGCCTCGCACTGTCAGTACAAAAGCCTGAGACCGCTCTTGTACGTTAAAAATAAAACGCATAACATCTTTAGAAAGACTTATTTGTGATGACAAACAGCTCCCAGAGAGCGATTGGAGCAGCTCTCCGTCAGCTGGTGCGCGTGTGGCAGGTGCTCGCGGCGACGGTGACGCGACGCGACGCGACGCGGGGGTCACACCGCACATGAGCGCGTCACAGTCAGACGTGATTGGGAAAGATCTCAGCGACGGTTTACAGGAGAGAGTCCTCTGATTCTGTGAGTTTCTATTAACAATATAACTATATAATGTAGTGTCTGTGTTTACATTGTAAAAATTATTTTTCGAAGTTTTTTTATACTTCAAAATTTTACGTTTAATATAATGCGTAAGTGTGAAATTTATTAGCAGTGTCTGAGTGAAAATTGTTTCTATACCAATTTTAATTTCAGTTTAAAACGTGAGAATAGTTATATTTATGCATTTAACCAAACATTATAATAATCAGAATTAAAAAGTAGGCTAATTAGGGTTTTTGGACATTTTTTTGTAGTACTAGGACTTTTGGTGTACCATGTCAATTATATAGCACACATCAAAATACTATAGTATTACTACCTGATACATCATTGTATTATGGTATTGCTGCAGAAATTTCTTTCTAAGGGATTGTGTCCACAATAAAGCACTGTACCATAGTACAGTAATTGTAATACCATGATACTTTGCTATACATTATGGTAGGGAATTATTATTATATTGATGGTAAATATGATTAAAAAAAAAATATTTTCATACATTTTCTGTAAGTGCAGTTAGTAAATTGTGAGCATTTCTTAGTTTGTTTTAGTAACATATTACGTTCCAAAATGTCTGTTTTGTGAAATAATGAGTAAACTTTGACTAATAATGAGAAATTATATCATACACTGTAAAAGAATAAATACAAGTTTTTTCAAAGTTGTAAATAAAACATTATTAGAATAGGTTTCATAAGAAAAGTCTTTCTACTTACAAATGTACTGGTTAATTCAACATAGTCGTAATTGTGAAAATTACTAGCAGTTTCTCAGTGGAAATAGCTTCAAAGTAAATCCTATGCCATTTTTTTTATCAGTGCAAAAAACCTATATGTTTACTTTCAAACACACACAAACAAGCAAACAGAGTAATGCACATGTGCACGCTGTGCCACAGACAGTCATGCCTAACAGGAAGGCAGGAGCTGATTCACAGGACTCTGTGTTCTGTGTGAGACTGAAACAGAAACAGCTGTTTGTAGGAGGATCCTGTTTCCTGAAACGTTGCGTACCCGATGAGCATTTAAACACGTTTGGAGTGGAAACGAGCTCTCTTTAAACGTGCTGGCACACCAGATTCAGCCCGTTTCCACATGCAATGCACTTCAGTGAATGATTCTGAAGCTTTTCGCTGAAATTAGACCGCAGAAGGAAACGGAGAGCTGTTGAGTTTCTGCTGTGTGTCTCACACCTGCTGCTGTACCACAGAGCTTTCAGCCCTGTCTATTTCCACTGGGGCAGGTGCTGGAGGGGCAGGCCGGTGTGGTGGGGTATATTTAGACCCCCCTATTTCTGCCCTGCAACTCCCGTAACTGCCGGCCCATCGGCTAGAATAAATATCAGCTGTCAGTGTTAGAGCAGACAGGAAAAAAACTCTGCTGCCATGAAGATGGAAATGCAATGGAACTACAATGTGGTTTTAATGAGATTTGAGATATTTGCTGAAAATGGGCTCCAGGTTCATCTATTTAAACTAAATGATTCAAGTCTTTGACAGCTTGTTCATATCGGAGCTGTTGGTCAAGTGCAAACACACATCTAGGACTGGAGTTTACTCTCGCGTTCCACCACTGTTTGTTCTTGAGTCTTAGTAAATAACGCATCAGTGGTGAGAGTCCAAACTGCGAAATATCCCCCAGCACTGAGAGCATTGCTGTGAATCCTCTTTGCATGAAAGTTTATTTCCATCAGAACTCATCTGATCTACTACCTTACCTCTGTACAGTAGTTGCAGTATTCAGACGTATGGTGGTCTTGTTTCACTCTGTGTTTCATTGACTGTGGTTCACAACATGGGCATTTATCAGATTCTTCTTTCTCTCCCAAAGCTGGTCAACGTGACATTATCAGTCTCTTGATGGATCTCAGGAACTCGATCAGATGAGATCTTGAGGTAAAAAGCTTGCAGACACCATATAACTGTATACTATGTTGTTTTATCATTATGTGTGATGCCTGTTAGATGAATGCTCTTGTACTTAGAACTCAGATTAAACACAAGCATCTAAATTATACTCAATATAATATAATATAATGTTTGTGGATTTGTTTGGGTTTGTTTTATATAGTGTGCCTCAGCACCTGTGCAGGCAGCTGTGAGCAGGCCGTCCTGCCTGTGTCTGTATGGGTGGGAATGGCAGCATCAGCTGTTGGTGGGAATCACTTACACACAACATGGAAACACATTGTGATCATTGTTACAACGCTCCTGCTCTTATGTGCTCCTTCAGGTAACAGTCCCTTTTTATCCTCACAAAAAAACTAGGTTACACTTTATTTTAAGGTGTCCTTGTTACAGTGTAATTATACATTTAAATACTGAGTAATATTAATTAACTACATGTACTTACTATATGGTTAGGATTAGGGTTTGGCTTGGGGTTACTTGCATGAAATTATGCATAATTAATTGTTATTATAATAGTAAGGTCATGTAACATGTAACAAGGACACCTTAAAATTTATTTTTATTCAGATTCAACTTATTTTAAATCCTTTACATTAATAATAATTTAAAAGTGTTTTAAATATATGTTTTTCCTAATGTAAATATTTTATTTTATTTCAAGTTTTTTTTTCAATTGAAAATATTTTGTCGATTCGTTTCAGTTTGGAATAACAAAACTGGATTACATTTATTTATGGTGCTCCAAAATATTTTAAAAAATATGAAAATTGTCTCCCTGTTTAGCCTCACAAAAAAGTACAGTAATGGTATCAGATATGATTGTGTAATATTGTAATAATAATACAGTAATATTGTGGTTCTTTTTGCAGTTTTATTTTAGTACTGTTTATATACTTATTACAGTATTTATTATTATTTAGAATAATATTTAATTTTAATGTAAGTTTTAGTCATTTTGTTAAATGCTTTTGTAATATTTATTAGATGTTTAATATTTCAATTTGGATATAATTTATTTAATTTCCTTTTTATATTTTTATTATATTTATATTTTATATTTATTTTATATTTAAAACCTGTTAACTGTACATTAATTTGGAGTCTGATGTGACCCTGGACCACAAAACCATTCTTAAGTTGCACAGGTATATTTGTGGCAATAATTGATTGAAAAATTGAAAAATAGATTTTTTGCTTTTTTGCTTTTATGCCAATTATTGCTTTTATTCCAAAAATCATTAGAATATTATGTAAAGATCATGTTCCTGAAGATATTTTGTAAATTTTCTACTGTAAATATATCAAAACTTCATTTTTGATTAGTAATATGCATTGTTAAGGACATCATTTGGACAACTTTAAAGGCGATTTTCTCAATATTTTGATTTTTTTTGCACCCTCAGATTCCAGATATTCAAATACTTTTATCTCAGCCAAATATTGTCCTATCCTAACAACCATACATCAATGGAAAGCTTATTTATTCAGCTTTCAGATGATGATTTCAAAAAATTGACCCTTATGACTGGTTTTGTGGTCCGGGTCACATATATCGAGTGAATTCTGGAAATTGAGCCATTAATGTTGTGATAAATTAGTTTTCTTTCCCTGCAGTATGTGCACAGTGTCGAATCTTGCGATGCAACTCCGATTTCGTGGCTGCGACTCTTGAAATAGGTGTCATTGGAGGAGGACGTAAGGATGGAGCTAATGCTGTCTACTGCAGCGCCCTGCGGTCCTACGCGCTCTGCACCCAGCGGACGGCCCGAGCATGCCGTGGAGACCTGGCCTACCACTCTGCTGTGCAGGGCATCGAGGACCTGCTCATCCAACACCGCTGCCCCAAAACAGGCCCCACGGCTCAGCCGCGGCCCCTGCCCCCTCTCTCAAGGGACGGATGCTTCTATGAGAAGGCGTTTATGCAGAGGGAGGGCCGAGCCCCAGAGTACCTGCACTGTGGGGTGTTTGGAGACCCTCATATCCGCACCTTTAATGAAGAGTTCCAGACGTGTGCTGTGCAGGGCGCCTGGCCTCTCATAGACAACCAGTACCTGTACATCCAGGCCACCAGCACACCCACTAGAGGGAGCTCTTACACTACCATACTCACAAAGGTGTTGACACCTTTATCCTCTTGGATAAATCTCACCTAATTAATATAACGGTCACCTTATAGTTTATTAAGTAATAATATGTATTTGTATAGTAATAATAATGACTATTTCTCAGAAATGAGTGGTATGTTACTCATTTTAAATAGAAAACTGGGTGGACTTCATTGCTTCTAGTATTCGCATAAACTCTGGACTAATCAGAACATTTTCTTTTGACCAAGAACTGCTCACATAAAGGTTGAAATATATGGAAGCCTCTGCCACGGAATTAAAATATAAAAAAGGTAATAGCGACGTTTTATCTCACAATTTAATTTTTTTTCCCTCACAGTAGCTTTTATAGTTTATATCTAATATCTAATATTTTTTATAGTTTTTATATAGTTTATATCTTGCCAATTAGATTTTTTTCCCCCTCAGAATTGCAAGTTTACATTGATGAAAGTCTGAATTACTACTTTATAATTCTAATTTTTTTCCAGAATTCTGAGTTTACATTAATAATGTAATTATTGTGAGATAGCCTATAAATCCGCAATTACAGAAAAAAAGCTAACGTAGAAATGCACAACACAATTTTTGCATTGATTTGCAGACTGGATGCATCAACAGTAGTTGCCAAAAGTCAGAGCCAGTCTGCAGATTTTGGGCAGTTGGAGTTGACAGATTTCACACTCCGACTCAGATTTTTTAGCTTCAGTCTATTGTTCCATCTAGTCAGAAGATATCATACATTTATCATACTTCTAGAACAAATGTAGTTTTCATCTTTTGAAGATTAACAAAACACTGGCTTTGCAAGTTACATTTGCCAATATGCAAATGTATTTTTCAGTGATTAAAATATTAACTTAAAATCTAAGTGGGTACTTTCACTAAATAATGTACATCATAAGCGTTCATCTGAGACAAATATTGGGAATCTCTGGTCTAAGTGGGTCATTCTTAGCCAGAAGAAGCTGATTTTATGCTGGCATGGCTGTACACTCTCAAAAATGGGGGATTTATGGAGATTAAAGAACAATTTTTGGTTCCCCAAAGAATCTTTCAGTGAACAGTTCTTAAAAGAACCATTTAGTGTGAAGAGCATTTTAATAATCTACAGAACCTTTTTCAGCTGTAGCCTCTGGAGCAGTGGAAAGGTACCATAGTACCTTAATTTGCCAATAAAGAAGCTTTATTTTTTAGGAGTTTACGTGAGGGTATCTGTTAGAAGACGCAAACACTTTTTATTGTCCTATAAAAGGCTCCAGTATTACTTTTATCTACTTTAACACCCAATCAGTCTTTTATATCACTTCTCCCCTTACATGAGCCCTTGCAACTGAGAGGGAAGTAACAGACTTGTCTTTTTTCAGAAATGCTGTTCAGTGCTTTCAAACATATATACTGGGTTGCGTTAATGATATTCTACAGCCTGACATCTAATGATGAATTGCCATGAATAATTAATAGGACATGCATAATGAGAGAGTTTAGAATCAGTCCTGTTTGAATGTCCTGCACCTGACAGTTGTCCGCTCTCTGGTTCTTCATCAGATCACGGTTATCTTGAAGAACTGGCGCGAGTGTGCAGAGCTGCAGATATATCAAGCGGAGCTGGATAACGTTCCCCCGGCGTTTGTGGATGGTTCTGTGACCGGCGGTGATCGCAGAGGGCATCAGAGCCTGCGCGTTCACTCTCACGACCCTGGCCGACACGCTGAGATCTGGGCTACGCACATCGGGACGATGATAGTGGTGCGTCAGGTCGGCCGGTCGCTGAGTCTGTCCGTGCGCTCCCCTCGTGCGATCGTGGAGTCCCATACGCCTGAGCAGGACTTGCAGTTGTGTGTATGGGGGTGTCCGGTCTCGCAGCGTCTGGAGACGCCCTATGCGCATCCGTCCACGCCTGCATACACACACTGCTCCTCACTGCTTCCGGTGCGGGATGTGTATTTCCAGGCTTGCTTGTTTGATCTACAGGTCACTGGAGATTTGAACTCCAGTGCATCAGCTGTGGCTGCTTTAGAGGATGCTCGCGCGATGATCTCGGACCCTGATAGGATTCACCTGCTGACGGACAGGGCAGGTAACAACCCTCCATCATTGCCGGTGGCACTGGCCTTAAGCATCCTTGTAGAGACCCTCAGACGTACTTTCTTGGGCCCAGTGTGACGTCAAAAACACTGCACTAAAACATGCCGTATGTGATATTTAAAGGATATTTATACTTTGGTTCAGTGTTTACATCTCAGTGGTTTGGAAGTTTATGGTTTGTGAATAGAGGCTGTCTGGAACGGCCGTGGAAAAAAATAATTTTATTGTATTTGTTTCAGTGTTAAATGCACATAAAGTGTGTGAATTATAAATGTAACATATTTGTGGATATTTTTATCTGGATAAATGTGAATAACCTTTGAAAAAATAAGCAAATGTGAGTGATTTGCTCATTCATCTCAGTGTATGTTTTCTCAAAGGTGGATGAAATTTATGCAGGAGTGTATTTATAATAAAGAAAAAATGTAAAAATGTTTCCACAGCCAACACAGCATTAATTAATGAAGGTCATCAGGATTATTCTATTTAGTTTAGTTTATGGTTTTATTTTCAGTGTTTTCTAGTTTTGTTTGAGTCTTTTTTATATATAGTTATCATTTTAGTTTTAGCATTTTAAGGCTGTCAGAGTTAATGCATTACCTGACATAATTTAAATATATTTGTAATTTTTTTATTTGTATGTTTAATGAAGGCGGGTTATTTTTTTTAATTTTTTTATTCATTTTATTTTAATTTGGAGTATGGAGAAAAACAGACGATAATAAAACAGAAAAATAATAAATAAAAGAAAAACATTAAGAAATAGATTCAATAATAAATTTAATTGAAAAGTAATAGCATTTTTATTATTTTCCTCTTATTACAGTTATTTATTCAAAACTAAAATAAAGAGTACTGAATTGTTTTCCTGTCAAACTTATGATATTAGAACTTTTGTAAATTATGAATTTGGGAAATTTACCAAGAGAATCTGATTTTTTTTCCAGTGATTTTTCTCCCATAGATCTTCTTTGTGATTACTACAGAAAGCCCGTGGAAGACCATGAACATCCCCTGTGGGATTCTCCGTTATCATCTGTTGTTTAAAGTTACAGTAATTCATCATTTATGCTGATAAAAATAATTTATGCTGGGTGTGAGATTCAGGCTTCAATTTCATCTGGGTTAGGATCACAGCTGATGGAGGTTTCATTCCTTGTGAATTATCAAAAATTGGTGACTACTTCTGAGTCCTTCACACTTGAGTGACACTGGATGGTGTTCATTTATATAAACTTGAATGTTTATGTTATATATTGGTATCGGTTACATGACTGAAAGCTGTTTTTTCCTGCACTCTTACCTTAAAAAGGTAATTAACTACTTTTTATACTATACTTGTTTTATGTACATATAATGTATAAGACAGATAATACTATGTACAATAAAGACAGCCATCCAAAACAGAGGGAGTCAAGCATTACGCATATCCCACCGTCCTTAAACAGCACTGTAACTGGAGATGGAGGGTTCAGGACAGACAGCATAATGAATGAGGTAAGCAGCTGTTTGTTTATATACATGTACTCTTATATCACCATGAAGATGAATGGTTGGATTATATAAACAGACTCCTAAACTTTCTATAGAGACTTGTGCAGTGAAGTGTGTTGGATCAGTCAGCAGATGGCAGTGCTCATCCAATCAGAACAGTCCATGTGAACAGTCTCCACACACGTTTCTGAACATGTGGAGTGTTCGTAGTTGCAATTGTTTGGTCCTCTCTGATGACCACTGTACTTCACTCTACATGTCCATTCAGTCTGGTATCTCTAGTATATTTAGTTTTCACAAAGTACTGAATATATGATTTGGACATGTACCAGGGCAATATCATAGTTTTTAATATGTACCACCAGGGTAATGCTATGTCTACTGAACATGCACCAGGGCAATACCTGACATGTATTCTGACATGTACCAGAATAATACCATGGTATTTCAGACATGTACCAAGTTAATATTGTGGTTTTTGGACATGTACCAGAGTAATACCACGGTATTTTGGCCATGTACCAGGGTAGAACCATGATATTTTGAAAAGTACAAGGGTAATACTATGTTGTTTGAACTAGTACCAGGGCAATACCATGGTAATTTAACATGTAACCGGTAATACCATGGTTTTTGGACATGTACCAGGGCAATACTATGGTATTTTGGACATGTACCACAGTAATATTGTGGGTTTTGGCTATGTACCAAGGTAATACCATGGTATTTTGACATGTACCAGGGTAATAACATGTTTTTGGACATGTGCCTAGGCAATTCCAAGGTATTTTGAAATGTTACCAGGGTAATACCATTGGACATGTGTCATAGCAATACAATGGTATTTTGTACATGTGCTTCAGTAACACCATGGTATTATCTTAATATATGGGTTGTGTCATTTAAATACCATGGCAAATGTATCTGGTCATCATTCGGTACTATGGTATAGGCTACCCTTAAATACTGTGGCGATATCAGATGATAATGCATTTACATTGTACTCTAAGGCTGATGATACATGGGGCAACTTTTTTTGAGCAATGTTGCTTGGGCACTATTCCATTGAGAATGGGTAACAAATATCTATCTGGATAGTTTAGATCGGTCATGGGCCCTGTGTCTCACCTGGTTGCCTGTTGACAGCAACATTTCACAAAGTTGCCCAGCACCATTGCTCAAAAAGTTGCCCTAAAAGTCGACCTAAAGGTACTTCTGAGAATACTACATTATTACTGTGGCATATGTCCAAAATCATGCACTTTTTGCATATCAAAATAACCATCCGATACAATCACGGTAGTGCCACAGTCCCTGTTTTCTTTGGGATGAACTAGACAGTGTAGAAATGCTTGATTTTGGTGCCATTCAGTTTAGGTATAAATAAATTCTTCATGCAGAAAGAAATCGCCTCTATTATGAACGTGTCACACGTGCGTGTCCACCTGACTCTGACATGATGTTTTGGAGCAGGGCACAGGAGTCTCCAATGCGCATTCATACTCCACCCCTGCTCCGTACAATTACTCCACCTCCTCAACCACTCCTGCCCCTTACCCACGAGTTGTCCACGCGCTCTGTACAGACTCTCATTGGCCTGGGTGGACGCAAACAGCCTGTGTGTCCTATGAGAGAGACGTGAATGGGGAGATCCACGAGGCGCATGTGGCTCTCCAGCACTGATGCCCATGTGGGTCCAGCTCGCATCATCAGCACAGCGGCCGAGTGAACTATATAACCACCCACTCCAGATCAGAGTCACAAACAAACGACCAAAACATCTAATAATAATCAAATAGTTAATAACACCAGCCGTACTGGTGAGCTTATTGCGCAACTGATTCATTCAGTTACATTAAATAGGCCTATAATACAACGTTTAGTGGCATTATTGGAATTAATATTCGCACAGTCAATTAAAACAACAACATGGGTGTCCTAACAAAGAAACCCAAGACCTTCGAGGTTCAGTTTAGTGACCCGAACAAGAGCGCGTTCAGCGGCGGAGATAAAGTGGCTGGGCAGGTGATCGTGGAAGTGGCGGAGGTGGTGCAGATCTCCGCCGTTAAACTGCTCGGAATCGGATGCGCCAAAGTCGATTATAATAAAGGAAAGATGCACTGCAGGGATGAGATTGAGTACCTGAAATATGAAGAAGTTCTTCACCTCGATCACCAGCCAACAGGTGAGGCACAAACTGGTTAACTCGGTGTGCGAATTTAATCGGTCATTTCCGGGGGGCATTTTAAGTTGTTTTTGCCAACCGTCATCTATCTTAAAGATATGTTGAACAAAAACTAATACTTGCTATATTGTAATATATTTACGAAATCTATAGCAAAGTGATAAATAATGACTGAACGTCCCTTTTTCGATGTACCGTCCAGCGTAAAGCGTTCACGTACGCACTGTTGCTATAGTAACCTCCCTTAAAGCTACTTAGCTAGCGCACTCTGACTAACCTATACGCTAAACTTACTTTAGTTGTAACTTAAAAGTTTTAAATCGTAAATGTACGTATTTAAAACATAACGTAAAGAGCTACAACATTTTGTTTTGACTCCCTTTGGGGTGGTTCAAGTAGTTCACTCTCATAGTTTGAATGAGGGTGGACTTGGACAGTTGTTTTTCTCCCCTATAATTTAACTCAAATTTTGGTGTCTAATTGGTGTCTTTGTTGTCTCCGAATTTAGTTTGAGGTGGTCAATTTAGAAATGGGGGGTTGTGAGGGGGTGAATGTAAGTTTAAGACTTGTTTATTGAAAAATCTTTCCTAAATTGAAAATTTGAAAGACATGAACATAATTCAATAATGACAATTGAGTGTTTCTCAAAGCGCAATCTCTCCTTCGCAGATGCAGATGGCTCCATCACTCTCAGGCCTGAAAACAGATACGAGTTCATGTTCGGGTTTGAACTTCCACAGTCAGGGTGGGTTTCATTTAAAAATTCCCCTTTACATTGTTATTGCATTCAAATAATTTAGCCACAATTTTAATGTAAGATCTGCCCCTCCCGAACAGGTGCCTTGTTTCCTCCTATGTGGGGAAGTTTGGCTCAGTCCGATACTACGTGAAGGCCGTCATAGAGAAATCAGGCCATCAGTATGCGGAATGCAAGCGATATTTCGAGGTGGATGAACCCATTGACGTCAACACCCAAGAGTTCATGGTGATTAAGTCCAGACAGTTCACACACATTTCTGTGAAATGGATGTGATTGAAACGTGAGAGAGTAATTCAGCCCTTTCTGCTTCCTCTCAGGCCCCAGTTACAGGAGCAAAACAGAAGAAAGTCACCTGCATGTTTATTCCCGACGGCAGCGTTTCAGTGGCCGCTCGCATAGGCCGGAAGGGTTACTGTGAAGGAGAAGACATATGCATCGATGCTCAGTTCGAGAACTCCTGCTCTCGGATCATCGTTCCTAAAGCCGCCATCATTGCCAAGCACATTTACCGTGCAAACGGCCGCACCAAAGAGTTTCACGAGAAGCTCACTTCTGTCAGGGGAGACCACATCATCTCTGGCATGTGTGATGTGTGGCAGGGGAGAGTGCTTCGTGTGGCAAAGCTGAAGCCAACTATCCTGGGCTGTGACATTATCCACGTTGACTATTGTCTGAGGGTGAGTTATATTCTTGATAATCAATGCAGATGCTTTGGACTTCACCTGCGGATCTGAGCTTACACTTTGAAAAATAAAAGTTTTTTATTGTCATCGATGGTTCCATGAAGAACCTTTACCATCCTTTCCATTGCACAACACATTCTTTAATGTCGAACAAGTTTCTAAATGTTCTTCACACTGTTCACTGAAAGGTTCTTTGGGGAACCTAAAATAGTTCACTGCAAAAACCTCCTTTTGGAATCTTAATTTTTAAAGAGTGTATGTCATCTCTTTCTCCCCGGGGTCAGATCTACTTGCATATCCCAGGAAGTGAGAAGCTCATCTTAGA